TTGCCAAGAGACGAAAACCCAACCCCGATGGCAAACACCGGAAGAGGGGGGGGGAAAAAACACGTGTCACTAACACCGACCAGTCCAACACGCGATGTCTCGAACTCCAGCAGGAATACCACACCCGGAGCATCGGCGATATGATCTCATACAGTAGTTCGACATAAAACCCGAGAGCGCCGTGTCACGAGAAACCTCGAGACACGTGCCCTTCTCGTGCCGAGGCACGACGACCACGCAGACTTGAAGGGGAAAGATACACCATACTTTTTGGAATTGATCTTACCCTTCGGTGGCGTTCCCTTGATCGTTGTTGGTTTCGCCGTCGACGGGCATGGCGGCTGTGCCGCCGTCACTGCATCAGGATAACGAGAAGCAGACGAAGTTGGCACGGAGAGGAACGCACGGAGGAGTAAGAATGCTGCTGGCCACCGGAGCGGGGCTCTGCTGCAGAGTTTGTGTCGGCCTGCCCTCAACATCCCTCTCACTCCAACCTGAGAATCGAACACGGCGTCTGTCGACCGAGGGCCTTCCATGTTCGAGCTTCATCAACGAAGCTGAGAGCGAGAGCGCACGCACGTCTTCTATGCGACAGATTCTACTGATGAGCACCTGAAGGTAAGGTAATGATTTCGATTTAGTACAGCCGATCTCATTCGGCACGTATACCGCATGTCATCATCGACTGAGACGAAACATCCATTCGCTGCCAGTGTCCGTAATACAATCGTTGATGTTCCAAGTGGTATGAAATCGACAGCGTCAGGATAACGAGAAGCAGACGAAGTTGGCACGGAGAGGAACGGACGATGGAGCGAGTATGCTGGTGGCCACCGAAGCGGAGCTCTACTGCAGAGTTTGTGTCGGCCTGCCCTCAATATCCCTCTCACTTTCNGCCGTCGACGGGCATGGCGGCTGTGCCGCCGTCACTGCATCAGGATAACGAGAAGCAGACGAAGTTGGCACGGAGAGGAACGCACGGAGGAGTAAGAATGCTGCTGGCCACCGGAGCGGGGCTCTGCTGCAGAGTTTGTGTCGGCCTGCCCTCAACATCCCTCTCACTCCAACCTGAGAATCGAACACGGCGTCTATCGACCGAGGGCCTTCCATGTTCGAGCTTCATCAACGAAGCTGAGAGCGAGAGCGCACGCACGTCTTCTATGCGACAGATTCTACTGATGAGCACCTGAAGGTAAGGTAATGATTTCGATTTAGTACAGCCGATCTCATTCGGCACGTATACCGCATGTCATCATCGACTGAGACGAAACATCCATTCGCTGCCAGTGTCCGTAATACAATCGTTGATGTTCCAAGTGGTATGAAATCGACAGCGTCAGGATAACGAGAAGCAGACGAAGTTGGCACGGAGAGGAACGGACGATGGAGCGAGTATGCTGGTGGCCACCGAAGCGGAGCTCTACTGCAGAGTTTGTGTCGGCCTGCCCTCAATATCCCTCTCACTTTCACCTGAGAATCGAACACGGCGTCTATCGACCGAGGGCCTTCCATGTTCGAGCTTCATCAACAAAGCGGAGAGCGAGAGCGCACGCACGTCTTCTATGCGACAGATTCTACTGATGAGCACCTGAAGGTAAGGAAATGGTTTCGAAGTAGTACAGCCGGTCTCATCCGGCACGTATACCGCATGTCATCATCGACTGAGACGAAACATCCAGGGTGGAGATTTATCCGAAGATACGGAGTACGGAAACGACAGGGATGCAGGAAGTGGGTAGAACCGGTGTGCGAGGCGGAACGTAGTGGCGGATGACAGTCGCCCAATTAAGCGATGGTTTTTGTGAAAGAAATTAACACTGTTTATCCCCGATTCGCTAGTGCAAGATCTCTACCTACGATTCTATTGCGGGGGATTCCCGGGTTTGTTCGCCCATATAATTCGACGGAATCGACCATTTTTCGCAAGCAAGGTGAAGCTGAATACGTTCAAGCTTGGTGAAGTACTGATCAACGGAGATTTCGGGGACTACGCGGATGGTTTTAGTCAATCCTCTTCTGTGCAAAACATGCTCGACAAGCGCCAGCAAGACCAATGTCAAGGTTCGCTTGCATACATCGCAACACTAGATGTGATGGGTCAAAGACCTGACGTGGACGCCTGACGCAACTTTCGTGATTCTGACGCTTTGATTTCGTGTCTGTCAACAAATATCCCTCCAGGTCGTCAATACCTTGGGAGAGAGGCAAACAATCTGGTTGTGGGACGCGACGGTAACTGATATAGAGATTCTCTCTCTGTCATCGTCATGACCGAACGACAGAGAACCTGCTGCAGTGCCTACCTCTTCCGCCTTTGCTTCCGTGGGACCACCATCGGCCACGTCTACAGCAGCAGTCGCGGCCACGTTTGCGGAAGAGGCCGCCGCGGCCTGTGTCCCGGCCACGTCATCCCTGCTGGAATACCCAAGACGAAAACCAGGTCATTCAGGCGATACAGCGAAGGAAAAGAGCAACATGGTATGCCGGGTGGTGGAACGGGTTCGGTGCGTCTGTTTCATTCCGTAACTCGTTTATAAAACAGGAACACGCGGCAGTTTCATTGGTTTCTGAGAAGCAGCATGCGGTCCTTCAAATCGTTTGTAACTAGCAGCACGCGGGAGTTTCATTTGTTCCTGAGAAGCAGCAGGCGGGACACATCGAGGACCAAAAGACGTAGGCACGCAACCGGGCCCAACCTTGGATGTACGGGGATACGAAGACTAGTGCAAAACATTAGAGCAGGAGGAAAATGTGCAACATGTGGCGAAAATAGTGAGAGCTCCCGATCCATGGTGGTTGTGACTACGAGGAACACGAACATTGCCCCCTCCCGAAAGGGGCGTGTGGTCCTCGGTACAAAAATATACCAGAGGCAAGCACCAATTCTCTGCGGTTCGCTCCCGCTTCTCACTTCGTCCCAAAAAACAAACCCTACACGCGAGCATCGAACAGGCAAACCAACAAACAGAAGCCTTGTGCGACTATCTTTGCTACCTTGTTTATTAGCGCTGATCGTGTCTTACGTGGTGACCGCCGAGTCCATGGAAGGAGTTGCCGTTGACTCAGGCGTGTCGTCGATGTCCTGCTCCGGCGTAATATGACGCGGAACGTTGTCAACGGCGGGAGTAGAGTCATGCGAAGGTAGCGGTTCGTTTCCAGGGGACAATCCCTCTTCGCAGCTTGGCTCCAGTCATTGGACCACTGGCGAGGCAGGTGGTATCACACATCGGCCGCTGTTGGTCTGGGGTGCACATTAGCACCTTTCACCACCAAAAAAAACTCGCACCGATCCGATAGTTGTGTCCGTGGTATGAGACGTTGGAAACGTACAGATATTGAACCATCGCGGCACGACCCAGACAAAACGCCCCACCAATAACACTATTGGTACATAAGATCGAGACACAGCTCGTAGACGCTGGGTGACAAACTACGTAGGCAACTGGCACATGTTCATCCCATCTTCAATCAGT